TATATACACATAGTATACAAATAGAAATTGCCTTTATAAATAATAAGAAAATGATACTGAATTTTAGATTTTTTTTATCAAAAATTTAAATTAAGTATCTTTAAAAATAAAAATTAGATAATAAAAATATATTATATTAATATAATATTATATATAGAATCAGATTACTTAAAGTAAAAAAATAGAATTAATTTTTAAATTTTTGAAAATTTTAAAATTTTAAATAATTTTATTAATAAAAATATGAAAAATCTTATAATTCTCAATATTTTACTAATAAATTCTATCTTTATACTCTAATTAATTTTGTTCAACATATATTATTATACTATATAAGTATATTAAACTTTATATTAGTTAAGTTTTAAGATAAAAATAGAATTAGAGTAAGAATTAAAAATTAGAGTTAAAGTTAAGATTAGGGAATTAGAATTAGAATTAGGAGTTAGAGTTAGGGTTAGAGTTAGAGTTATAGTATAATAGTATTTAGTAAAAATACTGAAATAGAGATGATAGCAATAGTGAAAGTATATACTTAATTTTTATAATTTTAAAAACTAAAAAAATTATTATAAATATTTAATAAATAATATTTTTTTAATTTAAATCTCAATCTAAATTTATTAACTAATAATATATTTAAACTTTAACTAAAAAAATTATATAAAAACTAATATTTTATTAAAATTTTAATTTTAAGAATTTAAAAACTAAAAAAAAAAAATAAAAAAAAACTAACTAATAACTAAAAAAACTAATATTTTATTTAAACTTTAATTTTAAAAAATTTAAAAACTAAAAAATAAAAAAACTAGCACTCGGAACAATGCCCAGGTCCTAAGACTTAGTCGGTATACCAATATTCGTGACTCACCAGTGTTGGGTAAATTAGTGGTCGACCAAAAATTTGCTAGTCGAATTGGTCTGATCGAATTGGTTAAATTGGTCAAATTAGTCAAACTGGTCAAATTGGTCAAGTTTATTTTAAATATAATATTTTATTTTATAATAATCATTTGACCAATTTGACCAGTACAAATCCTTTAACTGGACTGGTCAAATTGGTCAAATTGGTCTGGTCAAATGGTCAAACTGGTCTGGTCAAGCCAACACTAGTACGTGACATATCCGTCTCTATAGTAAACCGTCACCCAGGACTTAGAATAGGTAGATCCCGGTATTGACAGTACAATAAAGCCTTTTGATTACAATTTTGACGTCACAAAATTTACTTACTAACTTACTAGAATAATATTAAAAAGAAACATGACTAGTATCGTGACAAGGAAATTGCAATTGTAACAACGCAAATTGTATATTTGTTAATAAGATCATATTAAAAAAAAAAATTCGTGAGTATATCCTTGCTTCAGATCTACCTAAACTATAGTCATATCTTCACTCTAATTATTATACATCTCTGGCTAGCTCTATCTCATAAAGAAGCATCTGAGGCACGAAACAACTAATGGATACTCATTAAATTTTGAAAAATTAACTCGTCGCTAACGGGCATAATAAAAGATCCTGCTAAAACAGGTTTAATAATATTTCTATCCTTAGTTTCAATTTTATATTTTCTTAACAGAAAATATATGATAAGTTTAATTTCATGAATTGCTAAAAATCTGCCAGGACCTAAAATTTTGTAAATACAATATTATTTATAAATTAGAAAAATTTAATTTAAATAACAAATATATATAAAATAAATTACTTAACATGCATGCCTTCCATGACCAAATGCTAAATATCCATTATCTAATTTAGTGGCCGGGGAATTTTTTTCAACATGTCGAAAACCATCAAATGTACTTGTCATTTGATCAATGTTATGAACTTTTGCAAGATTAATATAAACGTTTCTACCTAATATTACAACAAAGAAAAATTCAATAAATTTTTAAAGTATAATAATGTTTGAAATTATATATATTACCTTTGGGAACTTGATATCCATTTGAAAAAGTGAAATGGTCATTAAGAGTTTTATGTTGAAGTCCGACTATAAAATTTCAATAAATACACTGTTAATTAATATATATTAAATTAAATGAGAATTTTATTTACAAATGATAAGAATTTTACCAATTGCTACCCAATTTGATAAGGTTTCTTTAATAAAGCTGTCTAACTTAACCATATTGTTAACATCTTGAGAATCCAAATATCCATCTTTAATTGAATTGGATATAATTTCATTTTCTTCAAGTAATTCTTTCCAATATTCAGGACGAGCAGCATATTCTTTATTTTTTTTTAAAAAAAAATTTAATTATAATTATATTATATATTGTTTTCTTAAATAAAAATACATACCGTAAAGAGTCAATGTAATCGTTTGTGAAGTTGAGTGTACAGCAGCAAATATAACATCAATTATATAGTCAGTTACTTCTTGTAAGTCTACCAACCCATCTTTTGTTGATAAGTCAATAAATGATTGTAAAATATCTGTCTATTGGGATAATAATAAATGAATTAATGAAGCTAGAATATAATACAAAATTGAGCAACTAATTCATTC